TATATATATATATATATATATATATATATTTCCTTTCCTTTTATACATCTGATAAACAGAATGTTCTAAACAGATGACTTATTTACATTTTTGCAGAACCAGTACTTCCATGCCTACAAACAAGCAAGAAGACGGGATGATGATATTGCCATTGTTAATGCTGCTTTTAATATCTACTTAGAAAACAGTAGTCCTGTAATTAAGGATATTGTGATGGCATTCGGGGGAATGGCTCCAACTACCGTGACCGCTCAGACAACTCAGCAGAAATTATTGGGATTGTAAGAACAAATTTGAATTTTCATTTGTTAATACATCGATTTGTCTTTCATTTGTTCCTATTTCTATGAAATATAAAATATTTTGTACATTTACAGGTATAATATTATAATCATATATTTCATATAATATTTCAATTACCATTATTTGAAAAATATGAAAACCAGTTATTTTTTTATGCTTGAATAGCATATGTGAAATAGCTTATACTAAATTTCATTACATCTATAAATACGTTAAAGAATCCGTCTCTGGCAAAGATTCAGAACAAACTTATTATTCAGTGCATGCCTTAAGATATTTTTAATTTTAATTTAACGTCGAAACATTGTGCAGTTTCAACATAAGTACACAATAATTACATTTAAATTTGCTCAGGTTGTAGAGCAAGTGTGAATGAAATTTACAGGAACGTTGATATTAATCCATGCATTTGCCTCCGACGAATGCTCTTGAGGTATCCTACGTTCACACAATTGATTGTTTGGGAGGGAGCGGTGCTTGGTGTGGTATACGCAGAGGCGCTCAGAGAAAACCAGGGGCCTGGGAAAGTTGATCCACGGGCGCCGGTCATGTCAAACAGAAAGTTCCCTCCTCCGGCAATTCATAAACAGAACTCATTTCTCCAAACATTGGAAGTAACCTATAGCGTTAAATTTGAATTAGAGATTAAAAAAATATTCTTTTGAATGACTTTCTTGCGCGGCTGCTAGTTAAGTCGGGGTCTGGGGCAAGTTGGTTCAGCTGATCCCCTTTCGGGGGGCAGAATTGTGACAGCAGAAACTCTGGCAATAGATTTTGTGTACTAACCGTTCACATCCCAGTTACTGTAACACTTACTGGCTTTTAACAATTGGAGGTTATAGCAGCTCTAATTTCTTGATAAACAAAGCAAAATACGCCACTAAAAGCGATGTGTTGTTGCAAGTAATGTAATAAACGTAATAATCAGGGAAGGCGAGTAAATGAGATTTGATCGAGGCCTTACATTTTATTCATTATACCCGGTAGAGCGTAGAAACCGATGTCGTAATGATCGGTTTCCATCGGTGTATGTATGTATGTATGTATGTATGTATGCATGCATGTATGTATGTATTATATATTACAAAATATTATATATTACATGCATATAATATGTATGTAATATATAATATTTTATAAATTTCTCATTGATAAAATCTAAGTGCACAAGAACTATTAATTGATCATTAACATATTAATTGATCGATAACATTTAACCGATCAATTATTAATAATGGAGGAGGTCCGTGCAACCAGGGCTTATGGACCCAGATGCTTTTATGGCAGGAACAAAAATGACTCCGCCGCGTTCCCATCAACATGGATGCCAAGTTTCGCTAAAAACGTCAGCTGTTTTTTGAAAGGACTGCCTTTGTCAGCTGCTGTTCGAAGACCATCTTGGAGAGAATTAATTGACAAGCAAAAATAAGCTCAACATTTGCAATTTTTGAAAATTCAGAGTTCATGAAAATTGTACCTGCGCTTTTTATAAACACACTTTGCCCTAATGTGCACGTAAGCTTCCGTGTCTCGAGTCCATGAGTTCTTGTCCTTCCGGGTGACGCCGCGTCTTTGCTCTATCGGAGAGAAATAATCAAGAAAAAAATTAGAACCATTTTTGAGAAAATTTCGAAAGTGTCTCAAGGGGTTCATGTGAAGTACGCGTCCAAAATTAAAATACTCATTTCAAATGCAAGGAATCGCGAAATCAGATCAGTCGAGAAATATTTCGTTTGAATAAAATCCCGTGCACGGTTTGTTCGTGCTAGTGTTGTTCACAGATGAACGGATGGATTTGACTTTCGACAACACTTTCTCTGTATCAGGGGCGTTCAAAACGTGCATACATATTCGAGAAAATAATTTATTCTTTTAATAAGAATTTTTTTTTCAAATCAGGGGCTCACAAATCGTATTAGTCTCTAAAGATCGGCATTTTTCTGATTCATTATGTTTCCCTCTCTACACTTCGTACACAAGAAAATAAAAAGTTGAAAAGATGAAAGATACAAGAGCTTTTCTGTTTCTTGTTTCTGGACAAACACAGCAATCAGTTTGGGGAATGCTTTTGTAGGATGATTGAATTAAAAAGTGTTCCAAAAGAATGGCAACCAATAGAAGAAAATGAAGAAAATTATAAAAGACTGTTTGGTATGATTCTGATGAACATGTTTTGTCAGATGCAACATTTCAAATTGAAATCTGTAAAATGTCAATGTTTTTTGAAATTGTTCCTGAAATGTTTTATCGAATTTTACGAGACAACGTATGCAAAAAAGTACGAAACGACCTACAAATAAAGTATAACCACAGAAACGCATCAAACCTGGTATCTCTGTAATGTGATTTAGCTCAAATATCTTCCAACGATTCAACTGTTTTTGTCGCACTTTAGCAAATAACTTTTCAACTAATCATCTCTAGTACATATTTTCCAGTTCCCTATTGTGATACTTGTTTGTTTGTGGAAAGATCTTTATAGTATGTTAATACATATTAAAATCAAGCAATTCGTTTCCCTCTTTGTTCTGATATTCAAAAATTTACGACATCCAGAAGCCAATCTTGTGGAGAATAGAACAAGTTGATTTTTCCTGTTCTCGTCGCAAAGAGCACATACCATAGCTTGAAAACAATCAATTTTCCTCACCTACAATGTAAAATTGAATAAAACTAATTTATTTGGACTAACATAAAAAGTCTTGGAAGAAAAAGGTTTGGTAAAGAAATGTTTATATAGTTTTTCAAGGGGGATGGGAAAATACGTTTGCCCTCATTTACTCTAATGGCTGATTGCGATTAAAAGGTCTTATTGCACGGTACTTCTCAATTACATGACCCTAAGAAATGGTTGAATACTGAATATTCGTCAATAAAATAACAAATCCAAGTTAATTATTTGTTAAGTGATGAATTACGTTACTAGTAACATTTACAATATCATCTGGAACTGTTTGTTTTTGAAAGTACTTCCGAAATGCTGAAGATAGTTTTATTTTAATTTCACAGGAAATGGAATGATGCCTTATTGGAAAAAGCTTACGGCTATTTAGTTAAAGATCTACCACTTGCTGGTAATGCTCCTGGCGGAATGGTGCAGTATCGAGTTGCCCTTGTCCTCAGGTAATGTGTATTCTAAACAACAATTAATATAATCTGTCAAATTGTCTTAGATATAAACCTTGGATTCTACGAGTATCATTAGAAATTGGCTGATGCTAATTTAGAACGCTGTATTAAAAATAATGTTTCAAAAATTATGTTGATTTAAGTATGCCAAATGCATTGCGATAGAATGTTTTATATCTTCTGAATGAAGTTTCATAGGTTTATTGGTATTCAAACCTAATATAATTATGACAAATTCAGTTTTTGTGGTCTAGAAAGATGTCCCACTGTTGTAAAATAGATTGTCAACATTCTATATTCTTCTTTTATACACTTGCTATGACGCACGTTCATGTGTTTTATCAATTTCACCATGCTTTTCTCATAATTAACCTAAATAGATCATAATTATTTTATCTGAATGTACTTATTTTCAGTTTTAATTTACTGTTAATTCTTTTCAGTTTCTTCTTCAAGGCATATCTGGCAGTCTGCCAGAAGATTCAGACAATCTATGCAGATTATCCAGCCATTCCTAATGACCATGAAAGTGCAGTTCGTGGATTCGGTTCCGTCAAGCCTTCGAGTGCTCAGTATTTTCAAGTGGTAAGAATCGAGTTCATCATTTTATTTATTTCGTATTGAGATCGTTTGCACTTAATAATAATAATAATAATAATAATAAGAGTAATAATAATAATAATAATAGGTAATAATAGCAATAACCCCAAGGACTTGTACGGGAAAAGGCGGCTGAAATTCATGCGATACAAAATTGTAACAAACATCAATGAAGTACAGGAAAGCACATCTATAATGCCCAAATAATATATAATACACGTTCATTATACTTCGATTAAAACTATAGTCTGTTGACACTTCCTCAGTTGTGACGCTTTCATCCAATCGGGAGCATGACGCCACTACAATGACGCCACTATAGTGTCGTTCGAGCTCCCGATTGGATGACAGCATCAGAGCTGAAGAAGTGTCAACGGACTCATAGTTTTAATCGAAGTATACTTTACGATTTATTTCAATTTACATTTGTCCGTACTTACTCAAGTAGGCACTTGTAATAAGGCTGATTTTTCTTTCCCATGATCGATCTTCTTGGTAGAGTTTGGTGTATAATTTTAACGATATTATTGTAACGTAAATACTTATTTGTGTAGCTGAGAAAATATTCTGCAAATGTGTAGAATAAACTTAATGACATTTTTACATAGGCGATTCTTGTAACTGATGTTCTCTTCCATGACGCATCGCCGGTAGCTATTAGTGATCACCACTTGATCGTGAATTGGCAGCACGCAGCACAAATCCTTCATCGAAACGTCTAGTGGTCCTCGACCAGTTTTTTCGATCCCTCAGTATCGATATGTGCACTTCGAATCTCTGGGCTTAAGTGATGGCGGGCTGACGAACTAAGTTTCTGATGGCATCAGCTCAGACGAGTGTCCAGGACCAAGCAGGATACAGGCCATCCATAATTTCCTCCTCCTAATTGATTGAGAATAGCATATTGAAGACTAATGTTAGCTTGTTGTGTAGCACCTCTTTGATGTTCACCATGGGATGGAGGCGTCGTGATGAATGAGGTGTCCATGGCGCAGTCTGGATTATACAGAGCGGCCATGGCCCCGGCTATGCTTTGCCCTAGGCTATGGTTGCTGGGTACTAAACCACTTTCAATGGTGCATGAATTTAGTAGTGTAATTGGTAGTACTAATAATTGACAGTCCAATTGATGAAAGTACGGTATGCACTGAGAATAACTTAAACAAGCCTTAATGGCAGACACTTTACTGTTCGGAACAGAGCTGAGCCCGATGTAGACTCCGCGACGGCTCAAAGCGAACTGGCGTGTAACCAATACGTAAAACGTCGTGTATGGAAAATGAAGACTTTTGGTGAAAAACAAACATTCTTATTGATTGTCAAAAAAGGAAGGATATTTTTTATTATTATAATATTTACTATTATAGTTCGATTATTTCTATTAAATTTTCTTTTTTTAAATTTCTAATTATTTAGATATAATTTATAAATGCAGCCATTTAGGCAAAAATCGAGCGTCATCAAAAGCACCCTCCGATTATGCGGTATATTGGGCAAGGCGGCTTTTAGGAGTCCCAAAGGCGATGATTAGCTCATTGATTATATTATTTCATGTAGACCAATTCTTAGCTTCTTGCCATCTCTGCTCCAATTTTTATCTCAGAGCGTCTTGCCGGACGAAACAAAGATTGTCACAAACATAGATATTGTTTACTAGCTAATTCATCAGACGACGCCAGTATGGAAAATGATTAATATGACTGTTAACTGGGGTGTACTACAAACGCATGCCACTGGATTGGACCACTTACACGCGGGAGCCCGAGCACTTACCCGAGCTTGTTCCCTCGGCGGACAATCTCTTAAAATATGCAGGGCTGCTCACATCCCGCGAGAACGACGAGTTGCGTCGTACAAAGTGTGGAATTTTGGTATTTGTTTTTTCAATAACTTTCAGTACGTGACGGCAGCTATTGTTTTCATAGCACATAGAAATTGTGAATCTATAGACAAAATAAGCCCCGATTTCGAACTACACCCGTTGAAAGGTGTTGTATAGTAAATGAGATTTCGACATCTTCAAATTAGAACAACAACTTATTTCCAAAATCAAAAATGGGTCTCGTCCTCCAGAAGATGTGTTACAACGCAGTCAGCGTAAGAGCGATGATTCCAGTTGCCCTTAGTCCAATCCAGTAGGCAGGAAATCTCCGCTGACGCGTACGTCACTTCCAAACTTGACTGTTCCTCCTAGGGGACGCTTGCTCCTCCCTCGGGGACGAAGGGGTGGCTGGGCGGTAGGCTGTGCTCGAACGATCGCAGCGGGGAGGCTGGCTCGCTGACTTCCCTTCGAGGCGATGGGCAGCGCCGCTGCTGGCGCTCACCGTAGCGTTCGCCCGGACTATTCCGCGCTGTTCGTAAGGACGGCAGTGCACGTAGTGTTGAATCGTGGTACCGCTTGCACGGATGCCTCAAAGGTCTTTAATTACAGCTTCGACACACTATCATTCACAACCCTCTGAATGTTGTAGGAAAAGAAAAATCGTCACAAAACTGCTTTGCAGCAACGAAGCGTATCTCATCAATGACAATAGAAACATTTGTGCATTTGATTGAGGAAGAGACCATGGTGAATTTCTTTTCCACCTGTAATGACACATGTATTTATATTCTTACTTAATACCTTGTGTTTTATGTGTTTCCAGGTCCCAAATGATCAGAAAGTGAACGATCCTGTGGGTCGCCCAATTGTTCATAAGTCAGCGTATAAACAAGCTACAGGTAAATTCGATACATATTTTCTACCTAGCGTCGTTTGCTTCTTCCAAGTGTTTAAAGATGTCAAAAAGTTAACTCTATGTTGTTGTTTTTTTTGCAGGAGAAGCTGTATATTGTGATGATATGCCCCAAATAAAAGGCGAGCTGTATTTAGCACTAGTGTTGAGTTCAAAAACACACGCTCGAATCCTATCTATTGACGCATCTCAGGCCTTGGCTTTGGATGGAGTACAAGCTTTTTATTCTGCGGAAGATCTCCCAGGAAAAAGAAATTCTTGGGGACCCATTATTCACGATGAGGAAGTCTTCGCCAGAGATGTTGTAACGTACCAAGGTCAACCTGTAGGAGCAATTGTAGCGGATGATCAGAGAATTGCTCAACAGGCGGCAAAATTGGTCAAAATTTCTTACCAAGATATTGAACCTGTTATAGTTACAATCGAGGTATGTTATATTAATAACATAATACGTCCGATAATCCGCATTAATGGGAAAATAACCCTTCCGGATTACCTAATATTCAAAATATGAGAAATGAACAAATAAAAATATTAACGTGACTTTTTAACCACTTTATAAAAGCTCATTAAAATCGTTTATAATTCATTCTGATAGCTTTTGAAGGGAAAAGAATGAATATAACTATTCATTTTACTTCAATTGTTTACCAACCATATGCGTACTGTTCGTGTCAGGCATAAACTACACCTTCAAAACAAATCCATCAAGTGTAAATTTCGTGGTGACAGCAGATGTATTTTGGTAATCCATGATGGTAATAGAGGATTGAGGAGGTATCAACCACAAAGTATATTACAATATCAATTATTATAAGAAAACATAGCTTTACACATGTTTCAGAACTACTTTATTCCAGTACCTCTACAAAGATGTAAATAAGAAAACAAATATAATTAGCATATGAATAAAACAGAAATACAAGTGAACACAATAAAACGTTTTGTTTTGTAAATAGAATACATACCCAAATGCCATGAATTAAAGCAGGCATGTCTCAAGTCGGCGCCATATGGTTTGTCGTTCAGAATACTAATACAGACTGTAGGAAAATTGTTGCGGGAGGAAAAGGAAGAATGGAAAAAGCTAATCAATACATAATTTTAATATGGAGCTGCATTTTATTTGAGACTGTTCATTGAGACATAATAAATTATGGTTTTTAAATAATCAAATTTTCAAAAAAGTTAATTCTGTTGCCATTATTTTCTAAGTAAGTAATTTTGAATTGGATATCAGGGTCGAAAGAGGGATTACATTGAATTATTTTGTTGGAAATTAATGGACCAATATCCAAAAAGATAGGAAACACATTCAGCAAATATCACATCAATGTATCATATAAAACTCATATCCTCCAGACACGTCTCCCTAGAAATAAACCCCCCATATCTTTAATGGATAAAATTGACATTTTAAAATGTAAGAGTTGTAATTCTGCCTATGTAGTACAAACGGGTAAAACGTTTTCATGTAGAGTGAATGCACCTTTGACATTTCTCTGTAATACGTAAGTGCGTAGTGAGCTTTCTCAGCGATTGTGTCTTAATTATAGAAGCGGGTCCGTTCGCTCCGGCCCTGTTGAATTCCTCAATAACTGCGAAACAGAGACGCTACGGATTATTGCGCAGTTTATATGAAAGCGTAGTTCCAAGCTATCGACTGCGTCACGCCGACTTCTTATCCAGGGTTGTTCTAAATTAGTTACCTAAAAGCAACATGAAACGCTTCCAAACCATTGACTGGTATTTCTCCGGTAGCTCTTCAAACCTCGCGCCGTGTTCTCGAGTTTCAAGCTTACGCCGCCAGATATCTGTCCATATACTTATTTGGCAGGAACTGTGCGGTTACGCGTTTGGTGGAAACAGTGACACCGCAGCGGTTCAGAACGTGGTAAGTCTTGCTGGTGGTACCCCGAACCGCAATCACCAATTGTTGTAAGAAGAGGCTTCAGAGCGTAGTACAACATAGCTACGCCTCAGGCAAAGACTATGAGAGCTTGGTGTGCGCGCTTCGTGGAAACGCATTGTGTAACACACCGAGAGAAAGAACAAGGTCGCCCTCGGGTGGCAAAGCACATTGTGGAAGCCGAAATGGAGCGATGCGCCGAACACGCGATGCATCGAACTCCACACGAGAGCAAGTTTAGGGCTGGATCTTCTTCGGCTTACGAATTGGAGAATTTTAGCACAGCGACTGCAGTGTACGGCGTTCAAGTTGCAAGTGGTTGCATGTGGAGTGACAAGCAGAAACGATATGCCTTCTGTGTGGACATGAACTGGATAGAAAATGAAACTAATAATCTCGAAAAGTTTGTGTTCAATGATGACGCCACGTTCCACATGAGCGGTACCGTTAACCGCTACAATGTGCAGTGTGGATACGGGACACACAGAAACCGAGGGAGATCTTGCAACATACACGTGACTCATCAACACTGAATGTCTTTTGTGCATTGAGTTCTGTCAAATGTTATGCACCATTAATTAGCAGATTGTAATGGGAATTACTTTCTAGACATATTGCTGACTACCAGATGCCATAGCTTCAAGAGGACAGGGGTGAAACCGTTTTCCAAAAAGATGGAGCCTCTCCATATTATCAGCAGGAGGTCACGCCTACCTATCTTGGACGGTTCCTTCTTGGATTGGGCGAGGTGGGACCATAGCTCAACCATCTCCAGATCTAATGCCCTTACACTTTTGTCTGTGGAGATATGCTAAAGACAAGGTGTATATCCATTCGCACATTTCAATGTTTGATTAAGGATTCCTAGCACGTAAACTGCTACGGTCAATAATCCCATACGTGTTGTGCATGTTTTATGTCAATGGGTGGCGGTAATCTTTTACCGTTGTATGGCGAGATATGGCGCCGACCTGCCCATCTGCTTGAGGGGTTTCCCCATCCTGGTATCTCTCACCAGCGAGGAACCGCCCCAGCTGGGAAAAAGCTTTAAGCTCCCGACTAGTCTCTGGCCATCAATGGTAGTGTAGTGCGTGTGCGTGTGAGTGCGTAAGTAAGGGGCGAGGATAGGACAAGGATGCGGAAGGAACGATTGGGCGTGGGCCCTAGCCCGTATGTTCGGGTACTGCTCCGGAGTTCGCCTGGTGTTGGTCGGAGAAACTATGGGAAAAAACCGATCAGAACAGCCGGCTGCAAGAATTCTCCTCCAGACAGCGACGGAATTCAATCTATCTGTCTAGCTAGTGTCGCAATTCTTGCCACTGCCGGGACTACGGGAACCATACGACCTCCCAGTCAGGGGCATTATAGTGACGTTAACTGACACCCTGAGCCACCTAGCTCACACTTCAACTAACGCCGAGCAACGCAAAAGCATCAATTGTGTGTTGGATGAATTAGATGCAGATTTTCTCTCACATTTCTGGGAAGGAACTTCGCACGGATTGCATATCAACAGTGTCTACAGTGTCTACTTCGTATGGACAGCATATCTACATAAGGAAGCCACAGTGAGCATTTGTAGGGAGAAACTTATGTCAATTTGTGAACTAAGAATCAATTATTTAACGTAAGTAAATTTGTGTTATTTAATGTTACTTTTAGGTAACTAATTTAGAATAACTTGTATATGGTCCCCAGAGGGGGAGCCTCTCGCGGATGTGGCGCTGTAGATTGCCTCCGCCTAGGCGGAACGGACGCGGTAGTGACCACACACTCTCTGGTAGCGCCACCGGCGGCTAACAGTACCTACCCGTTGGTTGGTAGCACTGGCGGAAGCGCTCGGTATTCGTGGCGTTTACCAGTCCTACAGACACTGAATGAAAAAATAACAAGACAGTGATAGTCCTGGAGAACAACAATCAGCTGCATTGCAATACGGGGAGAAATAATCGTCAAATTCAATTGCCATCATCCTCGCAGAATATCAAGAGGTCCAAGTTCCATTTCCGGTTGGAGTGACTACTGCTTTTTTTTAAAATGAAATTAAATGTTTATTTCATGACATTGAAAATTATTTAGGATTGAGGATTATTTAGGTATTGAGGATTTCATCGTGGCGGTGAAGAATAAATCTTCCAGAAAAGTTTTGCTTCGGAAATTGATTTTTTTAAAATTTGTAGCGTCTATATGGACGCAACGTTTCTCCCACCTCCTTAAAGAGCGTTGAACACACTGTGGAGTAAACCTCCTTTAATATGTGCACTCTGGGGGCCGCTGGGTACTCAAGTCACGTCAGTTAGAGACAAGTCAGGGAATCGCATATAATCGGAATAAGAATAGAGGCAAGGTTTAGGGCGCTTCATAGGGGTTGGACTAGCCCTTGTGAAGCAGACAAGCTCGTTTTGTCGAAACAAATTTCACATGAGATTCTAACCCGGGGAGGGATCGAACCCGGAACCTCAGTGGTGAAAGGGAAGCGACTTCCCCTGAGCCACAGTACTTCAAAACGATCTCGCTCCAATGTGATGGAGGACAAATGGTTAATGTTGGCCGTCTACCATACGTGTAGCTTAGAATGTAAAAATCGAAAGAAAAAATGTTCAGTACAACGGGTTTCAAGCCTTTCCGATGTACGCATATGAGGACTTTGAATTTATGATTTCTTGGGACAAGAAATTTCAAATTACGCAACACATCAAAACGACAGCACACGTGAGAAATGCATCAAAGTGGCAGCAAATGTAAAGAGGATTTTGTCATCAAATCAGGATAGCAGGAGGTTTTCTGGGTGATATATGCAAGACTCGTTTCTTTCAACATTCCGTGTAAAAAATTGTATAATCAGCAGTTTCGAAATTTCTTGGCGGAGAAATATCTGTTCAGTCAGAAACAGATATTTCATACCTCTGGTACAATAAAAGACTGCAGGTGACTAGAGATATAAATTACTAGGTTTTAGAAGCAAGAGTTATTTACTGATAATACAAACCCATTGTGTATCTATGTTTTGAGAATTATGTGCAGATTTCAATCGTGTAAATTAATGTTTATTTTTTCAGGATGCAATAGAAAAGGAATCATTTTTCCCTGGATATCCTAAGAAATTAGAAAAGGGAAATGTTGATGCGGCTTTTGCGGCTGCAGACAATATTTTGACTGGTGAAGCTCGTATGGCTGGTCAGGAACATTTTTACTTAGAGACGCATTGTTGTATTGCTGTACCCAAATGTGAGGACGATGAATTGCATATATATATTTCTTCTCAAAATCCAACCGAAGCTCAGGTACAGTACATTTATTAATGAAAGTTTTGTGATAAAATCCATTACTAATATATTCCTTTATTTTTTTTAAGTATCTCTCACAGCACCCTTTGTAAATTATATGAATACATTTATTTTTCTAGAAATTAATAGCAGAAATGCTTGACATTCCTGCAAATCGAGTAACATGTCATGTTAAGAGAATGGGTGGAGGATTCGGTGGAAAAGAATCAAGGTTTAATGTAGTCTCTTTGCCTGTCGCATTGGCAGCTCACAGGTAAGAAAATTATATCAGATTTATTTGGTTTAAGATAAGTTGACTTCTTGGTTCGTATGTTCTTTTATTTGGTGCCTGGGTGATTAATTTGCAGTATCATTTACTGGATGTGGCACCTGGCGAGACAAGGATTTTACGCAAGTTTTGGTGTTGTATTCATTTCTCTCTGCTATCAGTTTTAAGGATTTCATTATTAATTTTCCGTAACAATTCACAATACATGGTCCACCCCTAGTGGGACAGTATGTGCAATTTGTGCTATTTTCACATTCTGTGACGGAGCAGAAACTACATCTCTGCGGGAATGTGGAAATCACACGAATTAAGATATTTAATATTAATTTGATTACATATTTTCTCTAAATTACATTACACTGCTACATTCGGTTCCTCTTTTCATTCGTTTAAGTCCCCTACAATACTAATAAATTCACTGCGCTCTTATATGAGCTTCCTTTGATTTGATTTTAATTATTTTAATCAAAGAAGAGTAACAAAAACTGTATGTGACATACGGGGGAGAAGTGCCATCTGAGCTCGTGTTCTAGAGCTCCAGAACCTCTTCCCAACATTTTAAGTAAATATTGTTGAAGGATAAATAAACGTTTGAAAAAAGCGAGGGTAGCAACATTTGAGAAATAAAAATTTTCGCCGCCGAGTTATAGAAAACTAGCTGAATCGGTAAACGAACTGCAGATTTGATTTTTTTGTATTGCAAATAAAACAGTACCCCATATCTCCTCTAGTTATCCACTCCTATCACTACTAGCAAAAGGAGAGTTCAACGAAACGTGGTCATATGTGAAGCTACGCTGATGTCCAGGAACAAAACAAGGGGCTACCTCAGCATTTGCTCAATGGATCGGGAAAACTGTACAAAAACCTGATCGAGATGGGTGTCGTTGATGCGGAGGCTGAAGTTTATTACTTGTTACAGGCATATTAAGCCTTTTTTAAATATTATATTATTCAAATGTCAACTTCCATAGCTAAAAGCTTCATCAAGGCGCGATGCTGTTAATCCGCAATTACAATTTTTTCTCCCTGTCACGAGAAATATTCACAAGAGCCCAGGTGAACACTACAAAGAATAAAACATTCATTTCATCTTAACATACCCATGAATATGTTTTGCCGGGAGTGTACACCGACGAATCATTGCCAAACGTAGGATTTCAACGAAAATGCATATTTTTATATAAGATTGCTACAGTTTCTCGCAGTGTGTTTTGTGGTGATGGCATACTCATTCAAAAAATTCAATCCTTTTGCATGCATGTTTGAATGTTTTGATAACTTTTTGAAAACTCATGCATAAAGCATGTAATCATTTTCCATTAATTACGACATATTTACTCTTATTTAACATGTTGAGGACGTTTTCTAATTTTTTTGCATACATTGTTTTGACCTAATATATTTTATTCGTAAATAATAAATAGCATTTAGCACGCATATATTATAATCTGACAGCGAGGAAATAAAACCTATGAAATGAAGAATTCACAATATTTCCTTTGTGGCAAGTGGTAACTGAATTTTTTGCAGCCGCATTATCGAGATAAGTGAAACGCTCTTAACGGGAGACTGTATGTCGCCCGACTGTTCAACCTCTGCTAGATACAGGGAGAAGCGTCTGCGAAGTGTTCAGACATTGCTCGGTGAATGGCACTCCCGAAATGACGGTAAATTCCCTCCACATCTTCAAGCATCACCCAATAGTAGAAGGGAAAAGTATTTTGGGAAACGACTCGGGATTTCGCGTTAAGAGCTTGTTCTGGCATTTGCTTACTTACTTGCTTGGTAGGTTTCCGGACGCAACAACAGCGGTGGGTATTAAGTCCCGTTATTGTAGTGCATATTATATTCAGGATGGTAGTGGTATTCCTGAGGAACATGAGGACCTACATGTTGACTCGCGGGGTTTGTCGCTAGCAGATATCTAATGCAGCTGGGCACAGATCCTGCCGGAATATTCTCTTAGCATCCAACATGTATGGTGGTGTATTGCATGTAAATGTGTATGTGGGAGAGGGTAACAATGATGAAGGGAACATCGCATGCGGGCCTTGTTCCTTTCCCCGGCGTCCGCCTAGTTTTGATCAGAGAAACCACGGAAAGCTATCGCTCAGAGCAGCCGGCCACTAGATGTCTTCCCCAATGGGTGAATTTGCCTTAGTTCTTTCACCTTCACCTTCGGGACTCGAACCCTCGGACCTCTTGGTTAAAGAAGCTGCAGACACAAAGCAACAAAAACAATGCTGGCACTGATCCATCGCACGGGTTTGGCTTTCTTAGTGTGAAGAAGTATAATGGCACATTCGTTTTTCAGCGTGCTCTAAGTTTTGTTTTAAGAAAAGTGATTCCAAAATATTTTTTTAGACAAACAAATAAATCTGACAAGAATATTTGGAAACCTTCTTTTCGTAGTCACAAGCAACATACTAGAAAATGGCTGAAAGGCAAAAAACTGAGAGTGCATATTTAATTGATATTTGCCCCCACTCGCGTGTGTTTGGCTATTAAAACATGTTTACATGTTTGGCTATTAAAGCATGTTTACATGTATATTGAGTAAAGAAATTGAAAAAATTTCCAAATTTGAAATACTGACTGTAAATAATCTTTCTCTAGTCATTAATATGACGGACACCCCGTCCCGAGAACAGTTTTTGCTCCTGGAACGCCGACAATTATACGCGAAGGGTTGGGTATTCTATTCAAACACTATTAATAAAAACAGTTCCTGTTCAAATTTTAGACATTCAGATTTAATAACACTTATAAATAATTGTGATTTTAATAAACTGCATTTTACGTTGGCGTGACGTGACTTTTCGGCTACTACCTTGTAGCTATCTTCAGACCTCCGATTTAAAGAACAAATATGCACATTTTTCAAAATTGGATTATAATTGGATTTTACCTTGTTTTAAATAGAGTTGGAATGTAAGTCTACACTATCACCCTATCACGTCACGCCAACGTATAATGTAGTTTATTAAAGTCACAATTATTTATAAGTATTAATAAATCTGAATGTCTACATTTTGAAGAGGAACTGTTATTTATTAATAAGACTATAAACATTCATAAAGAGAAGAAGTGAAATATTCAAATACTAGCTTGACGTGGTCTTTCTGGCAGATATTGTCATATCAAAAAGGTTTATTTGTGCTTTGTAACTTAATAATAAAAATGAAATTTAAACACATTACATTTGTTCTGTTCGTCCATTGTCTGGCTAAGAAAGTTATATGGAAAACATGGATTAAAATGTGAGTTTAAATTATTGTTCCATTACAGAATTAGTTTTAGTTATCATCACTCTGATGAATCAAAGTCGTAACAATTCATGTGAATGTCGTAAAGATAGATTAGTAATTCACAGTGTCCACTAATAAATACGCAAGCGCACTGAGACCATAAAACTTTCTTCTAGAATTCTAGTCTTTTTTCTAGAAATCTTCCGAAATATTCTAGAGGAAACCAGGTGAGAATCGTCAATCGATTTGTCTCATCGAGAAAAATCGAATGACCTTTTGATCACCTCTGTAGGTCCTGCCCCTCAAAAAGAGTAATAATGTCTTAAAAAGAAAACGAGGCCTTTTAAGGAAATTCTTAGAATATTCTTGTTCAGTCAGCAAAATCATTATCAGTTCCCCACAAGAAGAACAAGATGCGTCAAACGGCACCTCATTTGCCTCGATTGGTGGGCCGGAATATGTCAAACCGTGAATGATCGACTAAAGGACGAAGGTTCCTGATTGTTGTGTAAGAATACAGATTGATTGATTGAAGATTTATATAATGCAGAGCTCCATATATTCACTTTTCCAAGTAGTGCCTGCCGAATAAAAACTGAAAAAGTGGCAAATTAGTCCGATTTTGACAGATGCCAGATTGAAGGAAGACAGACAAATAATCTTCCACTATGTATAAATAGTAGATTCAAATGTGTAACCAGATATTCGGGATTCTCTCTTTTTGGTGATTCTCAAAAACAAACTTAAAAATGAAACTCGAGATCACTTAAAATGTAATCACTGATGCGGCGTAATGAATCTCAATCAAATAGCATAAAAAGAACGTGAAAAAACTATTTTACAGAAAATTTAATTCAACTATTTCAATGGATTAAAAAAAATAGAACTATGAAATGTATAAAATAGAAAATTGCTCACCGAAGTAATGTGGGGTTAATTAACTGGAGAGTAAACTGGAATTAAAAAGTTCTTATAAACTCATTGATTTTTTGGTCAAAGGACATTTTATACCCAAAGAGGAAAGGAGAAGCATTCAGTAAGATGTGGGTAGTTTTGTCAAGTGTGAAAGCGGTTCCACACATTAGGCATTCGCCGAGCAGCGAGCTACTGCTCGCCCAATCCCGGACTGCTATTGTGTTCGGCGAATGTTCGCTCCCTTTGATGTGTCCTAAAGAGCGACACGCGGTGGGTAGGAAGAATACCGAATATTCAGCGCTCGGCGAATAGCGACCAACCCGTCCACACTTCTTGGGATTCGGCGAATACCACATGTGTGGTGCCGCCGTGAAAAGGGAAGTCTTCTAAGTAGTTGTTTCTGATGTAGGTACCAGGGAGATTAGGTATTTTATTAAGCAAAATACCTATTGTTACCCAGGCTTTCTTCGAGACTAATTTTTGTAGAAGAGTAAATTATCAATTTTATATAAACAACGGTGTTTAAGATTATTATTTTTAATGTATTGGATTCAAATTTTAATGAAATACCATAATTTTCTTTCATAGCATTTTACAGTACATTGCTATTAGAATTAATTTTTTCATCTTACGCACTTCTGCTGGCCTCTACGAATCTATTCAATACCAATTCTGCTGCTCCGCTACTGGCTTTTGGCGGGCTGGTACTGTTATGCACTGCTACTGGCCTCTGGCGGAATATATTAGGAACCAATCTGCTCTTCGCGAGAGGTGAACAATAATTAACGTGATGCATCTACCAACGTATTAATTAAAATA